TACGCTTCAGGTATACATCAAACAAGTTGCCTGTAAGACCTTCAACTGAGTCATCAATAGGAAGAATGTGAACCCGCTTTCCGTACTTCACATCAGGACATTGGTGGACAGACACAACATCTCCAAGGCGTACCCTGAGGTTAGCTCTAACAACTTTGTTCATTCTAATTTTGGGTTCTTCACATTCTCCATCGGCAATAGCAATGCATACTGTATCTTTTCGTTTCTTCCCCTGTATCACAGACAGATTCTTTGTAAACTCTCAAAAGCAAATCCAACCTTGAATAGGGAAAACAGAAGAGGAAAATCACCTTGATCAAAACTGTGTCTCCTCGAAAGAGCTGAAGAGCTTCCATTTTAGTAGGGTGCATGGAAACCACAGAATTATCATCATTTATGGCTTCGTCGACAATAAGACGGTTGGGTGACTTCTTGCGTTCCAAAATAGCAGTGGAATAATCTCTCTTATTACTTCTCCTAATATAAGAGATTAATTGTTTTCATATAAATGGAAATCCAAAAACTAGATAATTTCTAAACAATGGAAAATCATATAAGAATGAGAACCCATAGTAATTAATAATTTATGCAAATTGAGCTCATAGAATGAAGAAGCCATTATGTGGTGCACTACATTCAGTCCACCCCTCCCAACAACCCGCATTAGTAAATCAATTCTTTTCTTTCCCTCTTTCCGTAAACCCATATGATAAAAGCACAAATACAAATTATCATATAAGTTTTAATTTGAACTGGTACATAAGAAATTTCATAACATGGAAAAGATTGTCTTCAAATAAATAGGTCAAATAAATAGGTCAATGTCAGCTCGAGCTATGTACCCAAGACGAGCACAACAACAAACCCACCCCGTTGACAACCAGTGATGGAGCCATGAGTGTGCATAATTATAAAATTGCCCCCAAAAAAGTTTTACCACTCTTCCACCTATCTAGTGTAAATTATTCCCAGTTCTATCCCAACTCTCTAAAGCTTGATAGGCTTTGATTGTTGATAGTGAAACTAAAAAGAGATGTATGGGTAAGTATTCAATTCTGGAGCATGCAGCCTAATTTCAAAGTCGACTGGATGTACAACAATTTTAAAAGATCATTCAAATTCTTTCATGAAAATCTATAGTGTTCATAATTGAACTACCCAATAAAGAGTCCAAACTGTTACTATCACGTAAGTTATTCTAGAGCACAAACACGTGTTTCCAAGCTCAGAAATTCAATTTTTCCCTTGTTAATTAAGGCATAACCTTCAAAAAAATTGATCTCTTCTACCATAACCATGTAGAGTCAAAATCATATTCACGTCGAACTCAAAACAAGCTAAAGTTAGGGTTTATGCCCAAGAAACACATACGGTTAAGATAAGAACACAAAGGTGGGTCCAGAACAAGCACAACGAATGAAACTATACTAAATTCAGTGAATTGAGTGCTTTAAACTATGAAAAAACACGAATTTGTAGATGAAGAACACAGGTGGGTCCAAAACAAGCCCAACGAATGAAACTATACTAAATTCATTGAATTGAGTGCTTTAAACTATGAAAAAACACGGTAGATGCTATGAAAAAACATACGAATGGGTAGATGAAGAACACTGAACATTGTCTGGGGCGGATGAGTTAGGATCCGCCATTGTTATCTGAGCTTCAATGTTAGGGTTTCACAGCGTCCGATTTTGACTGGTTTCAGGGTCAGTTTGCTTTCTGTGATCGTAGTAGATAGATCATAGATATATAGAGACCAAAGCTCGAAAACGTTCCTTCCGATTGTAATTGGGATTCTCTTCTCTTTCCTGTTTTTTTTTTTTCCTTCCACGTGTTCGCTTACCCTTTGTTTCGAACCAAATTCTTTTAAAATTTGGGATTAGAAGGAAAAGGAAAGTTGAATTATAAATTTAAAAAAAAAAAAATTGAATTATAAATCGAAATACAATTCTAGACTTTGTTTGTTTTGTGACACGGATATTTTTTACGATTAAAAAAAAAGTTGCCTAAAATATCCAATCTCCGCATTAATAACTATTAACCAAACACATTTAAGTGCAATATTTACTATAAAAATAGTTTAAAAAATAATTCTAAATGAGCTCTTCATTTTTTTTTTAAAATTAGATTTTAAAGGAAAAAAAAAAATTGCTCATTAGTTATAAAATACTATTTTCTAAGACCAATTTTCAGCCACTTTTATGCTTAAGAAAAACTTAACCGATAATTCTCATACCTTTCAATTTTTATTTATATTTTGATATTGAAAATTTGAAATCTTTCATTAATAAATCAATCAATCACACCCAAAGTTTTCTACAAACACTTCAAAAATTGTGTCTCTAATGATATAATCCAATAAATTTATGGAATGAATATTTCTTTATTGATTTTTCATTCATTAAGAAATCAAATCAATTTGGCCCAAATTTTTCTACAAACACTTCGAAAATTGTGCCTCTAATAATACAATCCAATAAATTTATGGAATGAATATTTCTTTATTGATTTTTCGCTCAAATTTTTTCTTTGGAATTTTGGAAACTAATCCGTAATAAAAAAATTTGATGTAAAATAAAATTAAAAGTGCATACCTTGGAATATTTCATTAATTGATAAGAACAAATCTATGTAGGCAAAAATAATAATAATATGAAGAAATTCAACTATTTCGGATTAATTTAGTGGGGTAGGTGGGAAGGCTCCAGATCTCTCAAGGCGTTCGCTTGAGCAACCTTACCCATGTAATTTTTGAGTCATTTTTTTAATTAATTATTAATCTATTTAATCTTTTTTTTTGCGCAGGAGAAAGTGAAAAAACTTTGATTGTTGGGTATTTTATTTTCTGGATTTTTTTCCCAAAGTGCAGTCTCACTTGCTTTTAATTGGGCTGAACTGTTCCCCAATATATTTCTAGATTCTTATTTAATTTTAGACAATGTTATTTGACTTAATAGACTAAGCAAAATTACTATCGTAAAAATTTATATTCAAGGAATAGAAATATTGCGAGAAGAATTCTCGGGTCCAAGAGATAGAATTTCTCAGTTAGGATTATGGAATAAACTATTTAGAGAATCTATTATCCTTTTTTGATTTTAGTGTTTTGTATAGTTGCAAATGTGACACCTTAGCCTTGTTTATGTGATGACATACACATACGGTGAAGCCATATGTAGCCCAAATCACTGATGGGACTTTTTAGAGTATTCCTCTTAATATGATTGAATTAAAATTGCATAAATTTACTGTACGAAACTTTTGTCATTATAAAATTTAGGAAGAATAAATTTTACACAGTTTTACCTCCGAATACAAAAAAAAATATTTTTTATTTTTGAACTCATAATTTCAAATTATAATAAAATAATTTTATTGTAACACCAAGGCTAGTCTATCTTAACATGAACAAATTGTTCATAATTAAAAAAGTTTTCAGGTGTGTGCGCGCGTGTGAAACACTATGAATTTTCTTTTTTTCTTTATCAGATTAGTTGAAAAGTTAGCTTAGGTGGTGTTTGCTGACATTGACTAAAATAAATAAATAATCAAAACAAAACGACAAATGAGCCATTTGCCTTATGAATGCAAGGGCTTTTGTGTTTGCCTTGCAATTGAATAAACTCTATTGTAAAAAGATTCTAGATTGACTTATTTTATTTATTTTGTTTTTCAAAACCATGTTGGAAAGCACAATCTGGTTTGAGAAGTACACATATATGCTTGTTTCAATCAATATTTAGAGTGTTAGTTGACTGTACCATATTAACTTTTTTATTGGACTATTAATGCTGTTGTAAAACAAAACTGGCCTGCTATTATTAAAGCAAGTGCTTTGAAAAAACACTATACCAATTTCTTCCATAAATCTACATTGGAATGACAACAGCTGCTTTGGCCTTTCATTATTGGAAGAAACTTGAACTGAGATACATTATCTTACTTGTTGCTAACTGAGATTCATTATCTTATTTCATTATTCTATCTGTATGAAAGCTGGATGCAAGTTTATATATATATATATAAACAAGTTATTATTTTTATATTGTTGAAGGAAAGTGTATTAGTTAAGTATTAGGAAAATATGCTTTGTATGAACTTCCCCTCTGTCTATATATATATATGTATAAACAAATTATTTTTATATTGTTGAAGGAAAGTGTATTAATTAAGTATTAGGCAGATATGCTTTGAATAAACTTCCCCTCTGTCTCTCTCTCTCTCTATATATAAATATATATATGTATAAACAAATTATTTTTATATTGTTGAAGGAAAGTGTATTAGTTAAGTATTTGAAAAATATGCTTTGTATAAACTTCCCCTCTGTCTATATATATATATATATATATATATATGTATGTATAAACAAATTATTTTTATATTGTTGAAGGAAAGTGTATTAGTTATAAGTATTAGGCAGATATGCTTTGTATAAACTTCCCCCTCTGTCCTTCACATGCAAAGCTTTTATATAAAGGGAGAAATACCATTATTGTATGTTTGACATGCATGAAATTATAGTTTTAAAATTGGAATTGTAGCTTTAGAATTGATGAAATTGAAGAAAAGCAAGTCAAAAAATCGAACTAAAATTTTCTCTAATTCCACTAATTTCAATTTTAAGACTTTAATTCTATATTGTCAAACACAGTATATGAGTAATTGAGTATCATTTATATTTTGCTTTAATTCAAAATAATAAATATATATATGAAGTTTTATGGGTTTTTTATTCTTAATTTTTGTAGGGTTTTTCCTCTGAGAAAGAATAAGAACAAGAAAAAGAAAGAAAATAGCAGATAACACAACACAAGCCGCGGTATATAAACAATTCGTATATATTCCCCAAATTTACATAGATGAGGATGATAAGTGTCAAATTCTAAAAGTTGGGGGCATTTAATAACTAACCTGTTAGAGAAAAATGGAATATAATTTGACTGAAAAAATCTAAAAATAAATAAAAAATTAAAAGTTGAAGAAAAAATTGAAAAAAAAAAAAAAAAAAAATGTACTTAATTATCTAGGGACACCTTGCATTCCTACCAGGACCTCCATAATAGAAGTAGTTTCCCCAAACATTGTTTCTCCCAGCTTTAATGTCATAACATTTGGGATGATCAGCCAAGAGGTGAAGATTTGAGAGAGGAATCAAGCTATTGTCCCAATCCACAACCTGTAAATTCCTGAAATAAGATGCTTTACCAAACCCTTCATCTGCAAAATGACCACTCCCCATCTGTGTTGAGGTGTGAAATCCCCCAACTGACCTTGTGTTAACTATCTCTCCCCCAAATTGTATCATGCTTGCATGACTCCTCAGATGACTGAACAAGTATGATGGCCAATACCCAACTAGTAGTCCTCTCCCAAATTGAAGCCACCAATGTCCATGCTTTGGATCCTATACATAAAAAATAAATTATTTGTTTTATTATGCTCTTTTTATACTAAAGTATCTAAAAAAGAAAAATTAGTTTCTGTTTTCTGGTCTAGAACTTAAGTGTCACAGTGTGGGTCCCGTTAATCGAGAGTGTTGGGTGGGATAGAATCGTCGGCACAGACCTCAATCTTGTAATCCAAGTAGACAGTTGGTGTCAACATAGTAAAAATATTTAATTGATAATTTAAAAAAAAAAAAAAATTAAAAAGTTGACGCGTCGGCGACTACTTTTAAAAAGCGCAGGAGAATCTTTGCATTTTAATATTAACAACATTGAAAAACAAACTAAAAAGTGTTTAAAGATGTTTTGGTCAAAATTAATAAGAATGATGCTTTAAGAAAGAAGATTAGCTTGGAAAGGAGATAGGAGGCTTTTGTCAAAAGATGCAAACAGTAAAATTTACCAAAAAACTGTAAAAACTACCTTGATTCCACTTTAGAAGACTAATTAAATGAGTTTTTGGCTTAAATTTACCTAATTTGAGTCAAAACTAACCTTCCAAATCATTATACCAATATCAAATTGTCTGCCATTGTAATAAGACCTTGGAGAGATTGCTGCTCCAATGGCAATCTTGTTATTAGTTTGGACAAAGCCTGAGCAGAGTAAATTGTAACATCCAGTGGCTTGGTATGCGTCAGTCTGCAAATTTAATGGCAATTACTTATTAGCCCCTTATTTCCAAGTTTATTCCACATAAATCCTTTTTAAATGAATAGAAAAATGGTACTTACTGTCCAATAGGTGAAGAACCTAGGATAGCTATCTCCATATAATTCTGGACTAACCTGGAGAAGATGAAAATTACGGTTAATATAGAAAAGGTAGTTTAAACTGTATAAACTGTCAAAAATTCACACACACACACACAGGAAAAAGACAGGAATTTACCCATGACCTTGCATTTATGATAAAAATTGGGAAATTATAGACTTGCCTGCCAACCAGCTTCAATTGTATTAAGATCATTGCCAAATGAACCAGCAATGACCCATAATTGTGACAGGCTGAATTCAAATTGATCGGTTACGCGGGGTGTCCACACATTTATGCTAGCCTTTGCCCCAAAGTACTGATCTCCATTGACAAAAGCCACTGCATGCTGTGATCCAAGTGATTACAGTCAAGAGAGACATACACAAAGAACAGATGAATAAAAATGTATAAAACTCTTTATTGCATAGGTTTTTTTATTTTTAATATTTAAATATATATATATATATACAATAGGATGCACAATTTCTGATCAACATGTACTGTTCCCAATTTCCAAAAATAATTTTTATTGATTTATATTCTCTTTGATGTCTACCTTCTATTTTTCATGAAATTTGACATAAGGCTATTGTGAATTAGTGATTGGCACTGTTAATTGTAAGACATAATGAATCATCTAACTTAAACAATCAATGCCTTTATATTGCTTTGTCCTTTCCCTCCAAAATTTCTTCTCCATTATGCAATATTTGATTGCTGAGAAAATGAAGGAAAAAAAAAAAAAAAAAAAAAAAAAAAAAACTAGTCTTTTGGTGGAGAATAGCCTTTCTGGTAGAGTTATAGGGAGGTGAAAAGAGGAGAATGATATCACAGAATTTTCTTTCACTTGATGGATGAAAGAAAAGAAAATAAAAGAAAATGATGAGAAAGTTCAGAAACATACTGATTGAAAACTTCTTCTTTTTTTTTATTTTATTTTAATTATCATTACAAGTAACTTGTTTTTCACCCCCCTTTTTTTTTTTTTTCATGATACACTAACCTCATGATCACTGCTAGTTGTGTCGCGCCTTACGCCTCTTCTCAATTTTCTTCCGAATTTTCGGATTGAGCTGGCTCTAAGAACATCTTTTTCTGTAGTTCTTCTGATTGGAATTGTTCCTTCTGGACATGATTCACCAGAATTTGTCCATAGCTGAAATCCCTCTGTCATTGCATCTGTCGAATCATTCCCTTTCGGCCTCTCTGGTGGTTCCTGCCAATATACAAGAAATTAAAGTTTTTAATCTTTCCAAATCAAAAACTTCAAAAACACCAATTTATTGGATATAAAAATATATATATACAAAATCACCAAATTTGTTTGTCTCAACAGATTTTTATAATTAAATGTTTTGGTTCTTCTACCATTGACTTAATGGATAAATTCAGTTTGAAGAAACCACATTGTGTTTCTTAGGTTAGCATTAGGAATAAATCTATGTTAGAGCTTTGACCTCAATTTTTTTTTCTTGCAAAGATTTTTTGAGAAAAACATGTTTTCTATAGAAACAAACAGAAAATGAGTTGAGGAATAGTACCAATGGCTTCTGTCCTTTGAGCTGAGGATGATCAAAAGCTGGCTGTAGATGAGGTTGAACACAATCTATTAAATCACCATCAGGACTCTGCAATGAAACACACAACAACCCAAAATCATCAAACATTAACGCCAACAACAACAACAAAAGAAAGAAAGAAAGAAAAAAAAAAAAAAAGGAAAAAAAAAAAAAAACAGAAGAAGAAAATGCCTGAATTGTCTTGACTGCAGGCTTATTGATCTTCCTCAGAAAATCCCTAATTGTCTCCAACTTATCCAACTCTGGGCGTGGCCGGAAAGTTTGGTTGCGTTGGCCGGAATCTGACACAATGCTGTCTGAGAGGACAGGGCTAACAAGTGAAGAAACAACAAGTAGGAAGACAACAAATATGGAAATGATTGGAGGAGGATCTTTGTTTGGCATAGGAGGCATGTTGGTGGAATGTGTGTGTGTGTGTGTGGGTGTTCCTTGAATTGACATGGGTTTGTTGTCTTTGTATCTATTGGTGTTGTCCTCTACTGAGTGATCAATCAACCACACAACAACATGGGTTTTATTCTTCAGGTTTGTCCATTGAAACACAGCAGATCAATACAAAACACAAGAACCATTCAAAGAGAGATGGAGGGACTTAACCAATTCATTGACTCACCATTTCCCAAAACTTTAAAAGACCCCCAAATTGACAGATGAAAACTCCTCTCTTCTGCCTCTCTCTCTCTTGAGCATAGATTCTAGTGTCTTGGTTTTGTGTTCGGACAGACAGAACCTTCAGGCTTAGGCTTATTAAAATAGACCCTTAGAAGTGGGGTGCTTCTTTTCAAAGTTTTACCCATAACAGGCTGTGGTCCACTCAAATTTGCTTTCCAAATATGAGAGAGATGTTTCAAGTGACTGGTACTATCAAGTTTTGAGCTGGTTTGATGGGGGAAATTTGGGTGCTAATTTCTGTTATTTATTCCTTGTTTTTTAAAGAGAAAAAGAGAATTATCCCTCACTCACAGCTTCTAATCTTGCCTGCCTAGTTTGTGTGTTTTTTTTCCCCTTCCCGGTAAATCCCGCCTCAGGTGTACAGTTTCAATTTGAAAAATATTGGTGACATTTGGTACACGAGGCTGTAAAGTAAACTCTGAATATGAGTAAATCGCACGCATCATTTAAACTCAGGTGTTTTTCTACTATGTTGGAATTAAAACCAGGATGTCCAAGTTTATAGTTCCCTCAAGGAGACCCCTTAAGCGCTTCGTGTTCAGTTTTGACTTGAGCAATTTCAGTGACAGTATAGGAGGCAGTAAAGTAAACTCGGGATATGTGCAAATCGCACACATCATTTAAAATTGGGTATTTTTTCGTCGTGTTAGAATCGAATTAGAATGTCAGAGTTTACAGCGCCCCTAAAGAGACCCCTTACACCAATGCGGGTTGCTTTTAGTAATATTTTGCTAGTTGAGAACCTTCCTTAATGGAAACTTGATATATTTGTTCACTTTTAAAAGAAAAATTCCCTTCTAAAAAGTCACCTTGTACAAAGTCAGATCCTTCAATGTAACATGGTTTTGGTCATGTTAGTTTTAGAGAGAGATGTTTGAAGTGACTGGCAGTGTGATGTTTTGAGCTGGTTTGATAGGGACAATTAGGTGCTAATTTCTGTTATTCCTTGTTTTTAAAGAGAGAATTATCCCTCATCCACACCTTCTAATTTTTTACCTGCCTAACGTGTCTTTTTTTTTTTTTTGTTTCCTTCTTTCTACCCAGTAAATTCTTGGAATATGAGTAAATTCTGGTAATATGCGCAAACACTGCAAATTACATATATTACTTAAACTCAGATATTTTTGGACCATATGAGAGTCGAACACAAAAAGTTCAAGTTTTTTGCTCGCCTCACGAGATTTCTTAATCACTTGCCCATCCGTAAGAGTTGCTTTCCATAATATATTGTCCGTTAAGAACCTTTCTTAATTAAAACTTGATATGCGAACGCTTTCATAACTCAAGCAGTAGGATTGCTTCCCGTTGTTCTTGAGAGTCTAGCTTTAGGCCTTCGCATCCCCTTCCCCACTAACTCCTAATATTCTTGCAATATGTATATATATATATATATATATATATTAAAACTTGATATAGTTGTTCACTTTTAAAACTTTTTACAAAACCAGAACCTTCAATGAAACATCATTTTGTTTATGTTATTTTTGTAGAATTGTTTCCAAGAAAAATGCATGATATCATATGCTGATGCCTGATACCACTAGGAATTTGGGTGGAGTAGGTGTACAATTATACTGAACATTGGTACAGTACATTATATATGTATATATATTTATAGTATCAATATATTTTGACTAGTGATGTCACAATTTAGTGGATAACCAAAGATCCTTATTATATCAATTGTGTGTTTGTTCACTTTTTAGACTAAACAAACTTTTTAGGGAGACATTGTGCACCATGCGCCAAGCACTTGTGCCCAGAAAATGTTGTGTACACTCCGCAAGGTTATTGTTTGTTTCGTCGGTGGTAAGGCAATATTTGTCTTTTTTACAAGACAGTGGTTTTAATAGACTATAAACTTTACCACTAATCTAACTGCTTTTTTTTTTTTTTTGTCTTAATTAGCAAGCTTATGAAACTCCAAAAGTTCATATAAACAGTGATAAGACCAACACTTGGTGTTCAAACATTCCCCTCCCTACAATTTTTTTAAATTGAACAAATAAGAATATTTTCTCAATTCTAAGATTGAAATATCTAAACCTTTAAAGTAAAAAAATAAATAAATAAAAACACTTATACGTACCCATTTTATTAAGAATATTTTGAAGTTTATATATAAAAAAAAAAATGATCAAAATTGACAATCAAGGTAGTACAAATTGTCTGACAATGGTGATAGAGTAAGTAGTTAGTGGAGTTAAAGGAAAGGAAATTTGAACCTAAGATCATAAGGTGAAAGGTATTCAAAGCCTAATCCTTGACCACTAGGATAATACAAATACTAAACAGTAAGAAGTTTTTTTTTTTTTTTTTTTTTTGGACCTTCCAACCACTATCATAATCACATTATCATTCTGAACCTTGATTTTATCCTTACAATAGTATTACATTTTCTTCAGATCCAACCGTCATTCATCTCTGTAGACATATTTTGTTTTACCTAGAAAGGTCAAATAACTATTATGTTGTTGCAAGTAATGATGCTGTAATTCTTTCATCATCACCAACTGGGCCCCTCTTTGATTTTGAGGTCATGATCAATGGTATATGATGTCACTGTTCTCATAGAAGTGTTTAATCATATAACCATATATATATATATTGATAAATAATCATATATTCATTATTGGTAGTATTTATACATCGAATTATTGATTTTTACCACTACCCCATATCAATGTCTTCTGTGAATGATGTCACAAGAAAAAGATTGGTCAGATACAGACTTGACATTATTTTACATTGAAAAATGATAACTAATTCGAGAGTAAGACGCGTTAGATATTTTTATTATGTACTGTTAATGACGTTTTCCCCATTTACATAAATATAATGAGATGTATCTGACTTTCACAACTCTTTTATATAAAGTGACCGCTTTAAGACTCAAGCTCACATTGGTGGAGCTTTTATTATTGCACCAAATTGGGTAATAATGCTACTTTAGCCTTCCTCGTAAATTCTCCAATTTATTGTGTCTTTCTACTTCTTTGAGAGAAGGTTTTTTATTTTTTTTTTCATGGCATGAATGTTAGGGGTTAGTGGTTAGAGGGGAGGGGGAGGGTGCAAAGCTTAAATACAGGCTCCCGAACAGAGAGAGCCAGGGATGGATCTAGGAATTCATATGAAGAGAAGAAATTTATATAGAGAGGTTTTTTCGTAATTATAGCAAGGGCAATTTCAAAATTTTATGGATATACATGTAAAAAAGTATAATTTTAAGAGTATAAAATGTAAAAATAAAAAAGTGCCTGAAGAAAGCAACCCAACAACTCAACAACGCATCACTTGCATTTATTTGAGAGTTTTATAACCCTAATTGTAGCTACAAGGTAGTTAAAAATTTACTCACTCTAATGCCTAGTAATTGCCTTAACAACCACTCGAACAACACATCACTAGTATTTATTTGAGAGTTTTATAACCCTAATTGCAGGTACAAGGTAGTTAAAATTTACTCACTCTAATGACTAATAATTGCCTTAGCAACCAGACGAACAACACATTACTTGCATTTATTTGAGAGTTTTATAACCCTAATTGTAGCTACAAGGTAGTTAAAAATTTACTCACCATAATGCCTAGTAATTGCCTTAGCAAGTGGTTGGGCACCACTTTAATAAGTGAGCACACAAAGGTATGGGGCCTTGCACAGGTTCTCTTTTTAGGGTTGTGGGGAGTGGTGCTTGCCACTTTAAGAGGCTCCCCCCTAGAGTTTGCTCTTTCTTTATTTCTCTCTATTCTTTTCATGAACAATCACTAGAATTTCACCCATCTCTGCACAAAAGAAAAAAAAGAGTATTGTTGTTGTGGTGGAAATATTGGGCCATAGTGTCACTCTTGTTACAAACAAAGCAAAGTGACTGTGTTAAGTTATCTCAGTGCCAGTGTGCTACCATTCCCCTTTAAATTCAAAAAAGCTGGTTCCAGAGAATAGATTCCCTCCCACAATCTATAAAATATAGTACATTATAAATCTTTTGGTTTCAACATTCATTTATATGTGTTGATATATATATATATATATATATATAGCATAGTCTCTTATCTTCTTAAAATTTGTGTTAGTGGTGTAACAATTATAATACATAAAGGAAATGTGATGTGGTTTTACAATAATGATATTAAGCTAAAGTTCTGAGAGTCATGGTAGAAAGGCTGACAACTATTGAACTATATGTAAGTAGACAAAGGATTAAGAAAAAAATTAAAGCAAAACAAAAAGGAAGAAAGGATTGGGTTGATACTTAGAGATTCATGACAGGTTAGAAAAAATTACAGGGAACTTACAACACAACTAATTTATTGTTATATTGTTTTATTGTTGATTTTTGTCCTATAAGTCCTGATATGTGAGGGCGGGTCTTAACACCAACTGTAAGGATGCTTTATTGTGACTTAGAGGTCACAGGTTTGGAACGCTCAATACAATTCATTGGTAGACTGCTTTATTGTTGATTTTTTGCGCTATATGCCTTGATATTTAAGAGCTGGCCTTGACGCAACAGTAAAATGCGCTATTGTGACCTGGAGATTACGGGGTTTGAAACAGAAAACAGTCTCTCCCAATGCGGGGTTAAGACTTGATACATCAAACTTTCTCCAAATCTTGCAGCGGTGAAAGCCTTGTCCACCGGGATAGTTCTTTTATATAGTAATATCTGTATTATGATTTGGGGTCTTAATTCGGATAATATAATTCAATCCCATTAATAAGTTCACAAACTTCAGGATTTCAATAGACAACCTATGTACATCATAGACAAACACATACATACACATAGCTAGTCAAATTATAACTTGAGACTTTTTTAGACAAACCACAAGCATGCGAAGAAGTGTGCAAATTGGGGACCCTTGTTTCTTAGCATGAGTAAGTGGTTTCCCAGTGGAACATATTGCAGGATGAGCTAGACCACAACATCTAGTGTACACTCTCTTGAGGGTTGAAGATGGTGATGGGTCATCTGGTATGGATGTGTAGACCATGTGATGTCATTTTTATGTTTTATTAGAGGTCACCCTTTTTCACCATCTTTGTGGACCAAAAGCTGAAAGTAGTGTT